CACACAGGAATCTTGTCACGAAATTCTTTGGCCTTTTGCAAATACTAGACTAGATTATATAATAGTTGTTCTAGTTTCATAATTATTAATCTGTACATATATACATAATTGTGCTTCTTGAGAAGGCAGTGGGAGCTACTTTTCTTGTGTAATGTCTTCAATTTGTAGTTGCGTCTTGCACTTAATCATTACTGACAATACTAACAAGCAGCAAAGTATATTTGATTGAAGATAAAGCCCAGAAAGAGCAACTGAGAATAAGGCAATTTGGAATGCTTGCAAACAGATTTTTATAGTTTTTTTTAAGTTATTGTTCTTTTTAGGTTAGTTTGCCCTGGTTTTAGTTTACATCCACTTCCCTGAGTCAGCAGAACTGTGGGAGAACAGGCTAGATTTTCTTTTGATACATGCATTAATATTGGAATTGTTTGTGAAAAACTTCCCTGAAGGCACATACCAATAACATTCAGTTACAACTTAACTGCTCATAAATTTAACTGTTCAGGCCAAGGTTACTAAAGGCGATATACGGGACAACCTCAGTTTCATTCTTCATGATGTTCACTCCCTGAACCATTAAGAGAAGACCTTGATAGTCCTTAACATGGTCTTTCCACTTGCAAAGAGTATTCATACTTAAGAAATTCAGCATGTATTTTTAATTCATTCTCAAGAGTTTTGATAGCATTTTTCTTTTAAACATGCCTTAAAACTGATGTCAGTGTTTCTTGCTCTGTAATTATTGTTTGCCAACATCAGGAGCAGGTTCCCAAAATAATCTTTCCTCACATTAGTAGATCTTACCCACATGATTTGTTCCAGTAAAATGAGTTACGTGTTTTAAATACTGCCTCTGAGATAAAAGGAGATTACAGCATCAGACCTCCCACAGAATTTGTCTGCCAGCTCAATTGTTTTAAAAGCACAGGCCCAGCCTGCTTTACCGAATTTTGCCTGTGTAGCTGTAGCGGTTCAAGACCTGAAAATTTGTTAGACATTTGTTGATGGCAAAATCTTAGATGACAGAACAACTCTCCTGTATACAAAGAGGACAACGGTTTTGTCTGTGTCATGTGGTGAGGGAGGTAGTGTAGCTGTGTGAATTTAAAAAGAAAAAAAGAGGAGAGAAAATGAAAGATTGGCACCTTCCATTAGCACATGGTGCACACAATTACTCTACAGGCAGAGCCACAATGGCAGATGCACTATGGCATAGATGGATCTACATTTGCTCATGTAAAAAATTGTTTCTGTCTTCCTTGCTGCTATGTAAAAAACACAACCAATAACCAAACGTGGAAAACAAGCAAACAATAACCCAATTAATTATATCCTGTAAACAAAAGTGAGGGTGTGGAGCTGCTTGTGCTTTTAACCTGTTGTTTCAGTGGTATGACTCCACTACAAATTGCCACTTTTAGTTCACTGGAAACATAAGCTATGAGTGTTTATTTTTTTACTAGCAGCTGAATTAAATGGCTACTATGAAGAATGATAATAGAACAGCAGCATCAAGATACACCTGAAAACAAACTGCTTCTAGCTGTCACTTAGGGTTTCTTCAGGAAGTATCCCACCACAGAACCAGCTCAGGGCTGCCTACCACACTCTTCTCTTTGAGATTCCATCTCAGTAGATATAGTCAGGGGTTACAAAGATGGTACTGGGTGCAAATGAAGCTGTGAGGCGTTTGCTAGGAAGCCCCCCTTTACCTACCTTCCATCTTTTAATGTCCTGAGGTTTATTGAGCATCATTCAGTTATTTTGCAAAATTGTGAGAATGCATGTAAGATACTATTTAAACTTGTCATAGAATGAATGGTTTCGGATACGCAAGGGTTATTGGACAGGATGGAAGTGAATTCAATTATAATTGAATGCAACATCTTCATTCCCAGGAAATAGTCCTTGCATTGCAAGAGTTTTTTAACATCTTCTGAAGTATCATTAACATGTCCTAATATTACAGTGACTCTCCATTTACAACAAGTAATAGGCTTTCTCTGGACACTGCATATTAATAATACAGTAATGATGTGGCATTTGGTCTACTTAAATGAAAGTAAGGTCTCCCTGCTGACACCAGGTGTAAGGTGCTTATGTTGTCAAAGATAACCACAAAGCGTGAGCACCACGTAAAGGATTTTCTATTCCTATCTATTAAAGCTCTAGAAGCCAGAGGAATTATCAGTTCGAGCACTGTAAAACTCACCTTGCATTTAACAGAGAAGGGCAACAAAAATAATCAAGAGTTGCCTGCCAGCTTCCATACAAATAGATGTGGTAAAGCTCTTCAGCCTGGAAAATGTGACTGAGGGGAGAAAAGATAGAGGCAAGGAACAGGTGACTATGGATGAATTTACTGAAGCTTCCAGTACAAAAATACCAAACTACACAAGGAGGAGGCAGGTGCTGAACAAACAAAATGAGATAATCCATCACTGAACTTGCACTTAGGCTGTAGAGCACCCTGCTACAGGATGATGCAGATCTCAGTAGCTCACCTTGATCCAAAATACAAGGCTAATTTGACTTGCTTGACTAATTGCAAAATGTAAATGCCTACAAAATAATGAAGGCACAGATGAAGGGAAAAATCTGTCAGGGAAAGACAGAAGTACATTTGCACAAAATCTTTGTCTATCCATCTGATTATTGGCAAAACTACAGCAAACTTCTAAAAGTAATTTAATGGATTAACCAAAATGAAGCTGCTATGTAAATTACTTGCTCTCTTCTCCCAATTCTAGTTAATACTGACAAGAAGCTGGAAGGAATACAAGCAATTATATGCAAACTGAAAGAGGTGTGATAAATTATTTCTGGGATTTAATATTTCTTGAAATATTTTATCTTATGCTCAAATGATCCCATCTTATTTTACTCATAAGATTTTTTTGTTAAGCTCAGCAACATTTTTTCTAAGCCACATAAAATGAAACAGTTACTCTTTGGGAAGCTATTGCTGTATTTCCCTTAATCTGTCAGCACGTGATATTTATGCATTTCTGTATGTGACTTTGATGAAATATTGCTGAATTTAATCTATTGTATTCAGTGTATTTTCATATCCAGTGACTTAGAGGTCACTGGGTAATGGGAATCTTGACAGGTCTGGTTTTAAGGCATTGGCCATAAAGTGAACTTTAATGATGAGCATTTACAAAAGCTGGATGGATGAGAAGCTTATAGAGGTGGTTCTCCATTGAGCAGAGGCTGAGGGAATAATTTTAGTGTGGCAAAGGTGTTTACATGAATTAAAAGCACCGTGTTTGCCTGGGGTAGGGGGGAAAGATAGCTTCCTGCAAACCTGGCCTATTTTCTTCAAGTAATCTCCAAGGAAACAGCCTATGCTGAGCTAGGATCTGATTCCCAGTTGCAGGCCTCAGACCATAGCCATTATTGTTTTAACATTTCTGCCTTCGTCTTTATCCCAGCAGGAATCAGGCTGTATGGGCTGCTGTGTAACTTGACCTTGCTTGGAGATGAAAAGACAGGTTAGCCCACAGAGATCACAAAGCCAGAAGCAAAAAGACAGTATTTAGAAAATAAAGAAAGGAGCTGGTGTGGTATGATTATGTGTAATGTTCTACACTGTGCGGCATGGGTGGCCTGATGAACAGCGTCTGGCCACGAAACCCAAAAACCTGGACTTGGTCATAGTTTCTCCATTTTTAACCTTGTCTGTACAGAGATGCTGTGATTTTCATCATTAAAATACTAGTGATGATGATTTTCTGCAACATTGGAGATTACAAAAAAAAAAAAAGGAAAGAAAAATGGAGGGGGAAAAAAGAAATTTGCACAAAATTTTAGTGCTTTCAGTAAATAAAATTAATAGTAAATCAGCAGAAAAAGCTGGATATGAATCTTTAAGTCTTTGCTGTTGTTTTACTACTGTCCTCTGAGCTTTCCATGCAATAAGCCAGTGAGCCCAGAGTCAGCAGCAATTAGGCATGACATGTCTTAAAACATCTCAGGGATGCTACAGAAAATAAAAGCGTTCAGCATCTAAAAGCTGAAAAAAGTGTAAAGGGGAAGAGAGTTTCTGTTATGATAGACCATGGATACTCAAACTGGTATGACAGCTGTGCATCACACGAGTGGTCACTGTCAAAACCCAACCAAACTACAGCTGCAAGGCCACAGGGTCCCAGTTAAATTGTGGTAGAGGCAAAGTGAATGACAGATTTCCTTCGGCTTGTCTCAACCACCACCTCATCTCACAAAAACAAAGCAACCCAAAATTCAGCTATGATTTCGTAAAGATTTCAAGCCAAAAGCAGTAGAAGCATTTTTTTTCATATCAGCCCATATGGCAGATAATAAATATCTGGTTCTGATCGCTGATAACATCCTACATAGACATGGGCAGAAAATACAGTTTCTGAAATCAAGTTTCCTGACAGATAATGCCACGTCATTCTTCACACATCCTTACCCCCTCTCTTGTATCTTTAGGCTGTAAGCTCTTCAGAGCAATTACTCTTGTAGTGCTCTGATCACAGAGCATTAGTACTATTACAGTATGTGTCAGATCAGAGAAAGGAGTCGTAGCCTGGTTAGCTTTAGTTAGGTGGGGCTTCTGGTTGCATTCTTGCATTGTTTTGAATGGCTCCTCAAAATTATATAAGATTCCGATTAAAAACACAACAAAACAACCTGCAGTCCCACTGATGTCAGTGGAAAGAACTGGTGCTTATGAAGAGGTGGCTCATTTGAAACTTTCCAAATCCCAGTTATTTTTTCCAGCTGTTATTTACAGGTAGCAGAACACATTTTGCATCTTGGGCCTTTGGAGTCATTGAGACCAAACTAAGGATTAGTGTACCTTGTGTGAATTGTGTATGCTCCAAAAGGGGTGACCAAAAAGCAAAACACCTTAGAGAACAAACCAGCATTAAGCCAGGTTACAGCATCCTGCACCAGCTAAACGGTTCTTTTTTAACTACTTGATGGAAAAATATTTTTATTTTCTTTGTGTTTTTTCCTCCTTCCAGACCCTGACAACACCTGCTCCATTTGCCGATGAAACAAGCTGTCAGTGCCAAGCTCCCCATGAGAAGCTAACCATCGCACAAGCCCGCCTGGGAACACCAGGTATGTGGAGAGAGCTGCATCAGCAGTGGGTGCTCCCAAAGCACAGGCTCTCCCTTATATCTGTCAATGCCTTCCACTTGGAAGCAGAAAGGCCAGTCTGGTATCTGGTGCTATCAGGTAATGGGGAAGAAAGCAGCAACTACAGGGCCATTATCTTCTGTTAGAGATGAAAAACAAGAGAAAACATTTCAAGTTAAGAGTTTGATGTTTTCATGGATGTCCACATGTTGGTTGGAAGGGTGGCTTGCCAGCCCACTTCAGACAGCCTGAAAGTTGTTTTGTGTAGTGGCTGCCTCCTGGATTCTCTTCCCATGTTGCCCCTGTATGCTGGAAATCTTATTTCACTGATGTTTTTGTTGATCATGTCAGATCTTCAGTGGCCTTAAAGGCCATTTGCTGTCTACAAAGAAACCATGCCCAATTTATTTAGCTGCATGTTTGTGATTGGGCTGCAGAAATTGGATGATTTCCCATAAAGTCCCAAATACGTACTTCAGCCCCCCCCCAAAATTACAAGAGACTATTTTTAAAAAAGCACCTTTGTTTACTTACTTATTTAAAATAAGCTTTCAAAGTGTGTACACTCTACAGGGGTAAGCCACAGCTTTCCAGTCAGCTTTGCAAGAAACAGTGTTCTCCCTTGGATGTCCTGACAGCAGAGACATCCCTTGTAGCACTGAAGTACAGTCCACGAAGGCTGAAGTTCTGTTGCTCTCATCTCCACTGTCCTTTTGCTTGGAAATGGCACAGCTGTCACTTGTGTCATTTGGTAAAGCAAGTCCTTTTTCTGTTTGAAGGCTGTTGCTGAAGATGCCATACAGAAAGTAAGAGTTATAAAGGTAATAGCAAGAGGATGGTAAGAAAAAGACATTATAGGCTTATTAGAGAGAAAAGCTTGGTGGAAGTATGAAAGAAGGGAAGTGAAAGTTTATGTGGAAGACATAAGCAATACATTTTTACAGCACTACGCTGTGGAAAAAAGAAAGTCACAGACAAGAGAGGAGGAAAAGGGAGATTATAAGAAAAAATATGGAAAAGAAATGAAAAATCCTGAAGGTAGAACTGACTAGAAAGGCAGAGAGAGAAGAACAAGACATATGGTGGAACCCTGAATGAGGCAGGAAGATGACATTTTGCTAAATTAGAATATAGGGATGATGGATGATAATAAATAGGCTAAGTCTGAGAGAAAACAGCAGAGAGCAGAGAGAAGAACAAGTAATGAGCAGGATAAAACACTCCAAGTTTACCCGTGGTGCCTTTGAGCATCAGAACTGGGGTGAATCTCCACAATCATCTGGGAACAAAAGCCTGTCCAGTACGATCAAGTGCAACTTGTTTGGGTCTGAAAAATTACTGTTGTGTTTCTTTTTCCACAGTTGACAGACCTGTCAGAGTGTATGCAGATGGGATATTTGACCTCTTCCACTCTGGCCATGCTAGAGCTCTTATGCAAGCCAAAACTCTATTTCCAAATAGCTACTTATTAGTAGGAGGTAAGATCAGAGTTATTTATTGCACTGAATTTTTGCTTCTGTGCTTCAGTATCAGAGAGTTATTGCCATACCCACACCCCCAGCTGTTTATACACTATGACTTTGAATGCTGCTTTCACTCTGGGGGCTTTCTATAGGCCATTTGCCTTGAATTACATCTTACAATTGCATCAATAAAAGTAAAAGTCAGATTCTGCCCTCAGCAGTACAGGCACAATTCCCATTTAGTTAATGCAGGTGCCTGCATGACTCTGAGCTTAGAATAGCTCCATATGAATAATTTACCTTTTTCAGTTATTCACTCAGAATTGTTCAAAGATGGAGACGAGTGAATGAGATCAACCACTCATTTATTTCTGGCTTCTCAGTCCCTCTGCCAGCCATGCACAGCCCACGGCTCCTGCCTGCCAGGTCAGTGTGTGTGCGCAGACCCAGCTTTCAATATCAGGAGAGAAGCTAAATCTGGCCTGTTATCATTGGAGGCCCAAATACAGGTCATGATTTGAATGCAGTTTTCAGCTCACAAGTGTCCCTGGGCAGGTTACTTTGTTATAAGTATTTTTGCTATGAGTATCTTCTTTTCATGCTGTGTGGCTGCCTAACAGCTGTTCAGCAGTTGGTACGTGCCTGAGTTGTCACTAGAGGGTGGCTCATTCCTGCCTAGCTCTACTCTCCTGAGGCCTCATAAACATGCATTTTGGTTCCAGTTTCCCTGCACCTTTGGGGCTCAGATATGCCTCGCATAAACATTTCACAGCAACCTTCCGCTGCTCAAATGCTTACAGCAGTGATGATAAAGCAAATGTGAATGCAGCCTTCAGACACTTTCTAAGATGCATTGTTTTGCATCTTTGTCCCACATCAGTTGAAAGGGGAGGAAAAAACCCCCACGATAGGGGAAGAGGTAAACCTCCTTGTAAACACGCTTTTTGGGTTTAATCATAAATTTATGATATATGGTAATACCCTCGGCGGGAAAGGAGACATCCCTTTGTTATGAAGGAAACATTATGACTCTTGATTTTCTTGTTGAGCCAGATAGCTTGCAGAAGAAGCAGGTGGGGGTGCAAGACCGTGAGGTTTAAAAAAACTCCAAGTTATGTAGGTTTTGTTGTTGCTTTTAAAGGAGTTGGGGGTGTCCCAGATCAGTAAAGGAGCTCTGGGGAAAAAGCCTGGCTCCTTTGAAATTCATGACATACCTTCATTTTGCCCTTATTTTTGGAGTGAAGGACAAAGCAGCCAGCACTCATCAGTACCTTTTCCCAGCAAGGCACTGTGTCTTAGCATGTTTGAAAAATGGGCGCCTTTCCACACCCACATACAATTTGTGCTGCAAAAGCACTGGTGTCATAAGGCTTTGTGGGCACCACAACCAACTCCTTCTATTTCTCATTTTGAAGACAATTATTTGGAACTACGATTGTTCAGTAGACTTTATACCTTCCCAAATCAGTCATTAGAGCAGGATGACAGAATCAAAGGGAAATGAAGATATTGTGTCTGCACTGCACATTAACAAAAGTAATCAAAAATAAGATCAAACCTTTCTACAGAATTCAAGCAAAAATTACTGGTTTCCAATAATTTTAGTAGACCCTTTTTCCAGAAGACTGTTGCTTTAAGGTGACATAAAGGCTGTAAATGAGTGTAAATACAATCTCAGATGGGATCTTTCTACTGAAAATGTGTTGATCTCCATTAAATTTATTGTCTGCAGGCATCAAAAATGACATAATAGGATTGAGTATCATTCTGCTAGTTGAAATTCATGTGTTATCTTGCTTTGAATTTTGCATGCACTCCAGAGCCTTCCTACATTTTTCCTACTATAGAGGCCCTTAACGACCATCACAGCAAGAACATCCATTTTAGATCTCAAAAAAGGCAGCATCTTTGGCAGCACCTTGCCTGATAGGTTGATGTTTTCAAATTAGAAAGAAGCAGCAGCTGTAGGGCTGTTCTCACACTTCCCTGCAGCACGAATAACATTGCATTTATCACTTGTCAAGTATATTTACTGTTTGTCTCGGTGTCACAGATGAGTGAGATCCAAAGGCACAGGTTTGACCTGTGTTGAAGGACCACCACTGTCAACCCAGCTATAAATGGGCATCACATTATTCCATCTGGAGTGTCAAATGACTATTGTAGCTGTAATATTGGACAGTTACAATGGGGACAGGTCGCTGGTTTATGCAACATTATGAGAAACATAGGAAGATAATACCCAACTTTTATAGTTCTTTGGTAACATGGGTGGTGCTTCCCCTCATTTTAAAAGCAATGTGACAAAGTATTAAGGACAGAGTATCAGAGGTAAGGACACAGGATTTACAGGCTTTAAGTCTGCACATTCCACTAGAGCATAGGGCTTCTCCCAGTCCTTTCTATGGGTATTCTTTCTGTGATTTCCTATTTAAACATGGCACAAGCCTTACTTCTCTTTCTGTGAAACCTGCTGAACTCAAACCTAAATTCAGAGGCAGATTGCTATAAAATGTGCCATGGCCTGTTTTCCATCAGTGTCTAGTGAGAAACTGTTCTGCTGTGATTTAAATCTTTGTTGGCAAGTTCATCATTTAGAGCATCATTTACATAAGCACAAAAAGTGGGGAGGCCCAGAAAGGCTGAGGGGTCTCCATCTTCCGGAACTCAGTTGGATGAGGCCCTGAGCAATCTGCTGTGTTTGACATTGCTGTAAGGAGCGAGGTTGCATTAGATAATGTCCAGTGGCGCTTTCCTGCCTCGACCATTTTGTTAAGCTTGCAAACATTCTGTGATTGCTAAAACTGCACTTCTGAACTCTTTCTGAACTGCTAGCCATTGCCCCTGAAATTTCACAGCCCATGAAATCCCCGCTTACAGTGGGATTGAGTTGCCTTAACGTAGGCATACCAGACCACCAGTGATGTTCAACAATACATCACTAGGCCTCTGGCTACAGCTGCATAAAGGAAAGGCTCTCTCAGAAGTCTATGGTAATACCTGCTAACCCTGAGCAGAACTCAGATGCCCTGGAGCACCCCAAAATTAGCTAAGCTAGTAACTAAGTCCTTAATGGAATTATTAAGAAATAATCAGCTGCTGGTTATGCTAATTCTACTTATTGTGGAGCCATTTTGTTGATACTTCCATATTTCAGTTTGCAGTGATGATTTAACTCATAAATTCAAAGGCTTCACTGTGATGAATGAAACTGAGCGATATGAAGCCCTCAGACACTGTCGCTATGTGGATGAGGTCATCAGAGATGCACCCTGGACGCTGACACCTGAGTTCCTTGAAAAACATAAGGTACATTTCTCCCTGTATTCTTCCCTTGCCCTTTGTAGACTGAGAATTGAGAATTAACAGCAAGTCTGTGAAATCCTATTAGGTGTAACAAATTATTTAATTCAGTTAATTTCAGTCACTGAAAAAAAACACTGTACATGGTGGATTTTGCCTCCACCTTTGTCAGAAAATATGTTTGTCTTGTTTTTTTTTTTTTTCCTCAGTACACTGAAATAATTCTTGTAGTGGGAGTTTTGAATGGCAAAGTAACACTGAAGAACTATTCACAAATTGACTTCCAGGGAAGATCATAAACCACAAAAGTTATCATGTAGTGACTAAAGTCCCAAATAAAAGACACATTTCTTATTAATGTCAACAGATGAAATAATTGGCCAGAAATACATAAAAATGTCATGTGTCCCCTTAGAGGCAGGATAGAATTTCTTACATGCTATTGACTGTCTTGAAAGGTATATGAAACTTAACAAAGCATAAATAACTCAGATATAGGTTAATACCCACATCGTTGGGTGACAAAAAGACAGTACTAGGTATACATGTATGTACACACAGCCCTAAGGAGGCAGAATAAAGAATCCTGCCTCCATGGTTTTGAAAGCTTTGCCACTTGACTTAGCTCTTCCAGTAGCAATAAAAGTAGGAACGGGCATCTTCAGTTTTCTACAGAATGTCACACAGCCAGTCAGAATGATGTGTTCATGGCAATGCTTCTGGAGACAAGCTTTCTGTTCTTTCATACTGATCATGCAACACAGCAGTTGTAGGCCTAAATCTAGTGCAATATTCTAGGTGATGGCTTTAGGATGAGAATGTCAAAAGCAAGTCAGCTGAAGTCGAGAAAAGAGATGATCCTCCACATCGACCCTTTACTGAACCAAAATTCAGTGATGGTGGCATGTGATTCTTCTTCTGTTCACTGGCAGATTGACTTTGTAGCCCACGATGACATCCCTTACTCCTCCGCTGGCTCGGATGATGTATACAAACACATAAAGGAGGCAGGTAAGGGCAACTTTTCATTTTAAGCATCTTTGTTTTCAGCCTCAGCTCAAATTCTTTTACTGCCTTTTGACCACAACTGCTGGGAGAGAAGCAGTAAAGATAATACCACATTCTCTTACACCCTAATAGTAGGTACTGCTGACTCCAGCGGAAAGATTCACTTTGTAAAACCACAAAGAATGTCCTTAGCTGAAATCCTGCCATAACGCCCAGGAAACCATTCAGATCTGTCATGAAACAGTCCCATCTGGGTTTTTAAAGCAATTTATGTGTCCCTGAGTAAAAGCTTTGAGTGGGTGAAAATGAGTTTATTTCCTACAGCAGCCCAGCCAACTTCAGACGTTTGTTGGTAACTGTAAACTGATGACTCCTTGACACAGCCCAGTCCTGAATATGGGCAAGCATAGGCAGCTTTCTGAAGTCATTAGAATCCACTTCTGCTTTGCACTGTGAGTTCTTTTCACCGCTCAAGGAAGCTGAATTAATTCTGAGGAGATAATGTTAACCCACTTTTGCCAGCAGCAGCTATCCTAACAGAGTAAACAGTGCCAGAGGAGGAACTGATAATACCTTTCTCCTCCTGCTCCCTAGAGGTGCTGCTTTGAACTTTGGCAAATCTGTCCTCTTTCTGTAAACAAAAACATGTATATTGAAGGCTTAAAAAAACATCCAGAGCAAACTTGTCATGCAAAGCGACCTTCTCAAGGTATACAATGGCAGGAGTAGACCATGTATTGAACTGAGCTGCAAGAATAAGCTTTTTATAGCAGCTGTTCTTGATCTTTTTCTACTTGCAAACCTCACTTGGTGTCAGACTTGCAACCCTTTGGGAACTGCTGTCCTACAGTTTCAGAGCCAACACCAACTGACTTCGCTGGCAATGAGTACTCCCACTTTTCCACACCAGGTTGCTGGGGAGCAGAGAAGCAGATGGGAACTGTGGAGCTCCTTGTGTAGAGTCCCATGGGCTCCCATTTCCCCACTCTCTTCAGTGGGTGGGAGGGTACAGGGATGGTGAGCTGGATAACTGTGCGCTGACTAAACATCTACACATCTGAACAGTTAGTTTGGAAGACATGAATCAGTCTCCAACATGTGAAGCATATGAAAGCAACCATCAGTTCTCATACATGGGTTTATGAACTTTCTTAAAATCAATTCTGCTTTTTTAGCAAGGGTAGAGTTTGGATTTTGTTCATGTGTTCTTGTAGCTCTTATCTATAAAGGCTTCTGGCTCAAAGTGGGTTTCACTGCTTCCAGAAATAGTTCCCTGAGTGACTACTGCAAGCCTGAAAAGCACGATCAGGGAAACCTCTCTGTTCATGATTAAAATAATCTACTTTTTAGCAGAGTATTAATTAGAGATCAGAAAGAAACACTATCACATAGCAGTTAGTCACAAGAGACTGCTAAGCTGCTTGATTCCTTCTCCAGGTCTTTTTCTAACCCTATGAAATTAGGTAGCAGTGCCTGTCTACTTCAAGAACATGGGAGGATTAATTTGCTGGTAGCTATAGCACACTTTTAAGACAAAGCATTGCTTTTTTTTGCAAAACCATTTCCAGTCTTATCTCACAGCTCCCTCTCATCAGCAGCTTGATGTTGCAATTACCCGTGAGAGAAGTAATTTTTTTGTAGCCCTAAATAACTACTAAACCAAAGTGTGCTAGCACTCTGCTATTACTGCCTTTGTGTCTTGCATTAACAGTTCAAGTGAGTCTGTCTCGATGAGGAGCAGTATATACCCCAGCTGTGTTGATGAAAATACAAGCACTATTAATAAGTGGCCAGTTTTCTTAGGGACTGATTTGTTGGAGCAGGGAGAGAGGTTATGCAGCCACTGACATGGCCCAGTGGACATAAAATGGGGGCTATAGAGATTGATACCCTCAGTCCCTGTGGTATATCCATGCTTGTTCACACTACCATTATGCTTCACCTTTCTGTTACAAGCTACTGGCACCTCCACGGCATTTTGCAGTTCTTGTAATGCATCTTTTACCTGAAAGCACTTCCTGGCTTCGGCCAAGGCCAGGAGCTGGTCTGTTTTACTCAGCAGAACAAAGACTGTCAGACAGTGCAGGGCAGGAGTGGAGGAGAGAGTGGAAATATGCAGGAAAGCAGCAAATACCCTATTGATAGCATGAGTGGAAGCCAACCCCCAGCTCCTTTATGTAACATTAAATAACACACTTACGGAAAGAAGTGCTCAGTGAATTGCCACAGCTGTGAGGTTTAGCCTTCCCAACTCGGGAGACCCTGCCAGTCTAATAGCTTCCACATCATAGCTGACACTGTGAAGGGGGCAAGTTGTAGCCTTTCTGAAGCGTCCTTCTGAAGACTTGAGGGAAAATGAACAGTACAGCAGTTCAGTATCTTCTAGTGCCTTCCCAAAGCTCACACAGGAACAACAGGAAAGAACTAGGAGTAAGACAGGTAGAACTGCAAGTCTCTTACCTTTGGTCAGGTAAGGTGCATGTGTGTTCATCCTCAGCCACCTGCCACAGTGCCTGGTCCTAGTGGGCTTTCTCAGCAGGCTTTGTTTTCCCACTTTGCTCAGGAATGTTTGTACCAACACAGAGAACTGAAGGTATCTCCACATCTGATATCATCACAAGGATCGTGCGGGACTATGATGTATATGCCAGGCGCAATCTCCAACGAGGATACACCGCCAAAGAGCTGAATGTTAGTTTTATAAATGTAAGTACATGGATCTGCATTTGCGTCTGAGACACTCTTCCTAGGACTCCAAACACAGTAAAACTTATGAAAGAATATCTTCCTCCTGCTGCTTTTAAAATAGCTAGGAAGAACTTAATTTAAAAGAAACTGGTAAGCTAAGGGTTGTTTTAATTGCTCCTATTAATTAGCAGCTACATTTCCATCTTGTGCTTTTATGTTTGTAACAGAGCTGCTGCTCCCCCTTCCTCCTTGAGCTGTAGGTGCTCTAATGACAGACTAGGAAGGAGCCCACCCCACCACTGTAGGCTTCTCAGCCACTCAACCAAGATGCAATTTCTTTATTCTCATTATGAGAAGACAGCAAGACTTCAAGAAGAAAGCAAAGATTGTGATATCCGAATTTCTTCTACACTGCAACAAAAAGTCCACCAAACCAACCACTGAGCACTGCCATTACTAGAGAAAGCTAAAATGGTTTTTAAAGGACAAGGAAGCATGTTAGGTAGCTGGTACATAAATGATGCTGAAGAAACCAGAAACTACAATTGTAGGGCAAGAGCACCATTTGAAAGTATGGCTTAAATTATTCAGCTTCCATGTACAAAATTGCACCTTATACTCCACTGAGGAGTAAACACTTGACAGAAATGAGTTTACTTTCCTTCATTTTCTGTTTCAAGTCTTAACTTAAGGCCTTGAGATAACCCACATAACTGGAATCTCCCTTGTAACTGGGCTGACTTGCAGCAGCCTGATTGTGATGGACTGAATTGTGTCATTTAATAAGGGTTTTGTGCACTGGATTATTGTTTTGAAGTCTGACAGGTAAATAACAGATCACAGGGCATAAGTTATTTCACTGGGCTGGTTTTTTTTTAGCTTTCTACACCTCTACAAATCCTGCTTGTAAGTACTGCACCCAGAAGGATCACTATTGCAAATATCCATTAAATTCAGGCATGCTTCACTGAATTTAATGTTGGAGCTCTCAAATTTACCCTTTAGCTGTTCTGAGGTTAAGATACTGTTGCATGAAGTATACTTCCCCAGACACTGATGTATCCTGAAGTCTCTCCTGGCAGTTGGTTATTTAGCTAACAGTAATTTAAATGCAGAAATAATTATTTGCACTACAGACTGTTTGTGTTTCAAGATTAAAACCACAGGATTTCACAAAGGCAAAATAGTGCTGGTTTCCTCACTAAGGGAAGGGTTGATCACCTATTAGGTGTAAAATGAGTTTGATTTCTTTGGACCTTGGGGATTTTGTTTGGCCTTGTGGCCTGCAAAGACAGTTCTTCTAGAGATTCATGAACTAGAATAAACCCCACCTCAGCACTAAACATTACTTCTTTTAAAAGTAAATTCAAGTGCCCATTAAATTAAGTTTGAAGGAAATTAAAAGCTGATAGCGATCTGTGCTTCTACAAAGACCATTACACCTTCAAGGGCACAGCATGAACTGTGTATGTTTGTGGAGTACAGAAGCTTTTCAAGACAAAAGCCCTTTAACCTGGAGTATTTTAGAAGCTTGGCCCAATGAAAGCTCCCTAAGGTTATCTTCCCTGTTCCTCTCTTTTTCTGCATTACTTGTCAATTAGGAGTTTACTCTCTTCTTCTGTGAAGTCTGCTGGCCACAGCGCACTAGCCTAGACACATCTTTGTTGCAGCCAGAAGCTGTTGAAGAGAGGTTTGCTTCTGCTTTGCAGAAACCCAACCAAAGAGGCATTCTGGTCCAAGTTAACATCCGGGCTGGCAAGCCAGCAGCTGGCTGCATTTGCTAGGAAACCCAGGGAGATTTGCCTTCCACTTACTGGGAATTTTGAGCTGTTAATTTGTCACTTGTATCCTTCGCAAGAGTCATAGAATTTTCAAAGTGCATTCAGTTTGAAAATATGGAAAGAGTCATGCAGTGGGTTAAATACAGTAATCACCCAGCACTGTCTTTTCAATATGTACCTTCTGCACTTCCTTCCACAAATGTTACATTTGCATTTGTAAAAATAACATGGGAATAGTTAACCAAGGCCATATGTATTAGGATACATTAATGCAATTTGTTTCTTCTCCTCAGCTGGCAGTGGCTAATTAATTTCCCAGTCCCTATATGTTAATCTCTGTCTGCGCTTTGAAAACAGGAGAAGAAATACCGCTTTCAAAACCAAGTGGACAAAATGAAAGAAAAAGTCAAGAATGTGGAGGAAAAATCAAAAGAATTTGTTTACAAGGTGGAGGAGAAGAGCCATGACCTCATTCAGAAATGGGAAGAAAAGTCCAGGGAGTTTATTGGCAACTTTTTGGAGCTGTTTGGACCCGATGGAGCCTTGGTAGGTACTCTGCCATTCTAGGAAGTCTGGATGGCTTTTATTTCTCCTCCGTGACACAGGTCAAGAGCAGATTCTTTTGCTGCAGTCTTTGTTTTGAAAGCTAGCACAGTAGGATAACGCCAGACCTGCTTGCCGAGTCCAGTACCGCGTGCCAATACTGCAGTGGGAGGATTTGCACTTCTGGCTGTTGCTTCTTTGTGGATAATTTCTATCTTTTGTCAAGGTGCGGTGCTGAATGTGATGCTACATTCAGTAGAGCTGTGTAACATCAATACACAAGCAAACAGGCTAATACAGTCTGTTGTCCCCATTAGCACTAAATGGGACCACACAGACATGAGAGAGAGAGATCATACACTGGAAGTGATGAGGGAAAGAAGACCATTGAAAAGTTTTTCAGAAGTTCTTTACATGCTCAATACTCAGTAGTAGAAGATGACAGTTTTCTAACTTGAAAAACTACTGATTTGAAGTTCCAAGAAGCGATTTTATACATCAAGTGGCTGGGCTCATCTGACTGACTGCAGGGAAGGCTTAGGAGCCAAAGCACTTTGAAAGCTCTCCTCAGTACCTGCTGGCTCCACAGAGCCCATTTATTAAAGGCCCCCAGGTGACTTGGAAAGGCAGTGGAAGGTCTGCAAGAGCATCCTTCTGGGGAGAAACCCTGGGGCCTCACCTGCTCAAACCAAAGTCATGCACCGAGTGAGCGGTGAGTTGGTGACACTTTGGAGCCCCAAAAGAGTCCTGGACCCCATCTTTCAGTTCTAATAGCTTGCCAAAGCCTTGAGAAGCTTTGTCTTTTTGTACTACTTCCCCTTGCTACATTGAAACCAGTAGCAAAGCTTAATTTATACGTAGAATTTCTTTGTTCTTGGGCCTTCCCAGGCCTTCTTGTTGGGAGTCAGTCCTTTTCCAACAAGCTCTCTCTGTGCATCTGTGTTTTGGTGAAAGCCCAAGCCCCAGCCAGACCCTCCAATACAGGCATTGCCTCAGATGTGCTGCTCTAGTTGCAATAAGTGAAGTTATTGCTCTGTTCAGGGAAATGTGAGCGAGCACGGAGGAGACCAGCAAGCACTGCAGGGTGAACTGAAGGGAGCAGAGTAAGAGCTAGACAAATAATCCTGCAGAACAGCAGGATGCTTCAGAGGTACATTTTCAGACCGTGGTGCACAGACAGTCAGGCATCTGCCTCCTCACTTGAAACCAAGCCCTGTGCAGGAGGGTTGTGCAAAGCTTTCACTGCTCATGGATTACAGTTTGAGGCAAAGTATCAACAGAGGCAGCAAGCCAGAAGAAGCAGTTTAGGACTAACATGAAGCAGATACTATTGGAATAGAGTCAACACACACACAATGTTCTCTCAGGTCCCTCTTTATCAGTTCATATCTGAACAACTTCCCATCACAAAAGGTACCTTGTGTTAAAAGGATCATAGCAGAGGTTTAGTTTATAAACAAACACTCAGAAAGAGTCAGAGACCTGGGGTGAACTAAGTAGCCCACATCACAGGTGTGTCACAACTCAGTGCCGCTAAAGCACGTAACATCGTACCTGCCTCTTACAGGAGTTCTCTTCTCTGCTATGACATGCCATATTGATTACCACTCAGTTGAGAAAACCCTCAAATTAGGCTGTGAAGGCTTTAGAACAGAAACTGCATCTTTATAACCTCTTTACAGCATCTACCATGCAAAGGCAGGTGCTCTCTGAATAACATAAGTCCCAGCCATATAATCAAATAGCTTATTTTCCTTGGGGAGGGGAAGAGAGCAACTCTTCTGATGAAGAACCCAGGTTTGCCTGCCCTGCCCACATCCACATGAAGCTTCTTAAGTTACTCTCCATAGAGCTCAGTGACTGTTCCTCATGGGGGATGGTCCTGTGGCCATAGGTGCTGAATAAATAAAACTAATGCTAACAGGGCACGTGAAACTCAGAGGAGGTGAGATGAGTTTGCCTGTGCAGAGAGAGGAAAGGGATTTGAAAGCCTTGATCCCATCCCCTGGCTCTACCCACTCAACTGCACACTGGAGGCATTTTTAGAAGCCCTTTGCTGATCAACGTTTTACCAAATTTGATAAGAGAAAAGCTGCTCTGCGACGGTCTCTTAAGAGCTGGGGGTGGCCTCCTGTTTCACAAGTTAGCATTTGACCACGGGGCAGGGAATCTGGTGAAGTCACAGAGACCTTTGCTAAGAACAAGAGGAGTGAAATCTCCTGACAGCGTTGTAGGAAAAGCGTCAGTGACAGCGAGCTGAGAGGTGGTGTGGCTTTTTTAAATACGCTTTGAGCCTTGGTAACAGGAAAGACTTTTAAAATAATGATAACTTGCTATTAGTGTCAAAACTGTTATTAACATTAATTTGCCTTATCACTGTTAGTTAGATGTTGCTTTTAATGTTGACATTAAAAGTACAGAAATCGTTACAGGCATGGTGGATTCCTAGATCGGTAATTTGCATGCCATTAATATGCTGTTATTATTTCACAAATAATTATTATAATACGCTTTATGCTAGCATCAATTTTCTAAAAGGGCCACGTAGCCCACAGAAAAATGCCCATTTGTGAAAAAGGTCAAAATGTCAGTTTTCAAATGTCAAAATGTCTATAATTCATTGGCAATTCTGCCCACCTGTGTGTAGTTTTTCTGCAAGAGAGTCACATGTTCTGGCATGAGACAGAACGACCACACACTAGGGGAGCCTAATGATAGAGGCATGGCCCTGTGGAAGTGGAAAGCAGTAGGGTTCATTCCACCCCCTCTCAGACACATAGGAGCAGGCAGCTGCACATAGGTCAGCAGAGAGAAACTAAGCTCACAGGGCAGGGTTTCTGTGCCGGTCTCCCTCAGGAGTGTACCTTCAAAGGGCCGGCTTCACTCTATGCAATGCACAGAGGGAGTTGGGGATGGTTGCAAATGGCTGCATCACCTCATACATCAGCAAGGGCTCAGATAAATCCTACAGGTTGCAACTAGAACCCAGGGACAGCATTTAGGCCTCACTGTGTGTCCAGTGCCTGGACTTGAACACGGCCCTGAAAGAATCAGCAGCTCAAAAGCAGCAGTCATGGAATCACAGAAGGGTTTGTGTTGGAAGAGACCTTAAGATCATCCAGTTCCAACGCCTCTGCCATGGGCAAGGACACCTTCCACCAGACCAGGTTGCTCAAAGCCCTGTCCAGCCTGGCCTTGAACACTGCTAGGCATGGGGCAGACACAGCTCCTCTGGGCAACCTGTGCCAGTGCCTCAGCACCCTCTTAGCGCAGAGCTTCTCTGCAACGCCCAACTGGCACTTGTTCCATAAACTGAAAGAATGTCAACGTACAGGCAGTAAAATTCAGAAATAAGCAAAATACTTCTGCCCAGTAGTAAGTTTGACAAAAGCAAAGCATTATCTCAGGACTGAGCAGGCGCTTACCCTGCTGAAGGTACGAGTGCACCGGCTTGCTCAAGCAACAGGCTCTTTGCTGAAGCAGGGACTGGGAAGCAGGTGTCCTACAGCCTGGCTGAGGGCCTTAGCAGGAAGGGGAGATTCTCCTTTCCATCCCTTGGCCATGTAACCTGAGGTACAGTGAAGTTCCCTCTGGCACATGGCATACCAGCCAAGCTGGGACACCTCAATCTCCCCCAGCACTGGTACCACACCACCATGAAGCATCCCAATGTCACCAAGCTTCCTGAAGTGGCTGACTGATGAGGTGCCTGTACAGTGGTTTGCTTCTTCAGGAAGAGGATATTTCATATCAAATATCATATTTTTTGTTGGGGGTTACCTTCAGTGGGACGATGACACAGACCAAATGAAGCAACAGAACCTCAGCTTCTCTGATCTACAGAGCAACTTTGCGGTCCTACCACTGAATTTCAAACAGGCTCCGGGGCTTTGCCAGCCCTGGTGACATCCTCACAACTCTCAGCAGCAGAAACCCTTCCCCCATCCAAATGCTTCCTGGCACCATTTATCAGGAGCAACAACCATCTGCTGACTACTGAGACTGTAGGAAGCCTTGACTATTCTGGACCCAGCAGGAGCACAGGGGTAGGTTACATGCCATGGGTCTGTGTGTGAGAGCACTGCTAAGTGTGACTCCAGGCAGCAACTGCCCTACCATTCTGCACTGCAGTGACATCCAGGCTCAAACTTAAGTTAATAAAAGCCAGTGTGATAAAAACAGTGTGAGGGAGCTCACAGGGGAACAGTTAAGTTTTGTAGGTGTGCTCAGTCATTAGCCCCCAGGATTAGCAAACACTGTATGGGAAAACCTTGGACCTGCCCCTCTGCTGGCACAGAACAGTGCATTTCAAAGAGTGGGAGGAAGAGCAAGGTGGACAGCCACATGCTGCTTGGCTAGGAGGAAGGTCATCACAGAGCAGGGTTGCTGCAGGGGAAAGGGAGGAGGAACAAAATGAAAACTCAAACTGAGGAAGCCTGTGGGCTGCAGCAGCCCGAGCAGGCAAAACCAGAGTACATCCTGCACAAGTACTTTGTTCTCAGACCTCAGCTTATTTTGCTCTCAGAGCATCAGTTTAACTTTGTCTGGGCTGGCTCTTCCATTCCAGCTGAGCATCGCCTATGAGCCGACCTCCAGTACTCCAGCCAGTGCTGAGGCTTCTTGTTCCCACCCCCAGAAGAAGCAGTGGGGCACTCACATTTTGCACATGAAGCCTGCAGCAGCAGCAGCAGCGCAGCGCAGCACAGGCCAGACCTCCTCTAACCCAGCCCGGCAAGACCATGTAGGTGCTACCAAGCCTTTGCCTTAGTGTGGCAGACTGCTTGACTGGCAAGGTGGTCTCCTCCACCCCACCAGCACTGGGAAACCTTCACACAGCTCCACAAAGCAAAACTGACAATAAAGAGCCCAAAGCAGAACAGTGCCTGCATGTGTTTCTCTTTTCAACAGACACCTGAACTTTGACATTCCCGCTCCCAGTTCAGGGTCTGGGTGATGCCAGCTCCAGGTAGCTGGGGAAGTAGCTGCCTCCCTTGGGAAGGGAAGGAAGAAAAAAGGCTGGGCCAGCCAGTAAAGCTCAGCGGGAGATGGGTGGTACGTCCCAGCACACTAAAAGGAGAAGGTTCTGGGAACAAGGAACGTTGAAAGCTCAGGCAGAAGACTGACCAACATGTACAGAGAAATCCAAGGGGAGTTTTCCCTAGCTGGCGTAGGACAATACACACAGTATTCTCACATTAGGGGTGTCCAATCTAAAAACCCTTGTCATGGAAAAACTGGGTTATCATGAGCACAGTAAAAGAGGCAAAGGCGAAGCGTGGGCTGGACCGGCCATGTTTCAGAGCAGAAGGCTATCCTCTGTCTCCCTGCTCTCCCCAGGTGAGAGGCAGAGTGTGGCGCAGCGCCTGCCCGCCTGCCTGCCTGCCCACAGGTGTAGATACCTTCTCTATGCACTACTCAGAGAACATCTTCTCACTTTGTTTTTGCAGAAGCAGATGTTCCAGGAACGAAGCGGCCGAATGCTCCAGGCTTTTTCTCCCCGGCAGAGCCCCAACAGCAGTCCTACACGAGGCCGCTCTCCATCCCGTTCTCCATCTCCACCCTGGGTCTTCAATAAAGCCTCTCCTCCATCTTCTCCAAAAGCTGCCTCTGCCTCCCTCAGCAGCATGAGCGAGGGAGATGAGGATGAAAAGTAAAATAAAGATTTATTTTTTTAACCATGAGACAGAAGAACAAGCCACAAACTCAACCACTGGATGGGGAGAAGCGCGAGGAACATCAGGGGTATTTCTGACAGTGGGAAATGTGCTCTGGAAGATGCCATAAGCAGATCAGAGCACAGCAAGGGAGATCTCAGGAAGAGCTTATCCCATCCCCACTCCCTGCGATGCCCGGTGGCCCGGCCAGCAGTGCTTGCCAGACACAGAACCGGGTCTGACAGAAAACAGACACATTTGTGCAGGCTCCTGTGTGTGTCTCTCTGCTCACAGCTGCTGCAGCCGGGCCAGGAAGCTCTGCACTGAGCAGGACTGGCAGGGGAGCCCTGCTGGACCCAGTGCACAGGCAAGCAATGGCTGCAGTGTGTGGATGGAGGAGACGCAGCCTTACTGGACCCTGCTAACCCTGAGCTTTTCTGGCACGTGAAGGAATGGCACTGCTGCAGCAAGTTCATTGAGAGATGAAACTTCTTTTTCAATGGGATCTGCCCCAGACCTCAAACCACACCAGTGAAATGGAGAGCCCTCTAGCTGAGTTGGTGGGAGTGAGTTTAATACATTGAATCTACTGAATGCTGCTTGTTGACCAAGCCTCTGTGCAGGGTGTATGTAGAGTTGGGCTGTATTTACTTTACCAAATCGCTCTCCGTGTTCCCAGTGCCTGAACAGCCACCCAATAGCTGCTGGTTTGCTCCCTGGCTTTGCACTTTGGAGGCAAGAAAGTAACTGAAAACACAGCCCTAGCTGGGGTGTGTTGTAGGAATTACACACTTTGAGGATGTTGGCCATCTTTACTGGTGAATTCTGAAAAACACACGGGATCCCAAGGCCTCAGGAGACAGCCTCCTTGGAAACCCTGCTGCTCCCAGCTACGTGTCACCAAATGATGAGCACAACAGCGCTCCTATCACCACATGCTATGCAGATGGCTAAACAAATTTCACATCAAACTCTAGCCAAGATGTGTGCAAAGACCGTGTTCATGGAGTGGGTCCCAAGGGCATTCCTCTCTACCCTCATGTGGAGAAGAGTTGGGGAAAAGGTTTTAAGCAGGTTAGGCATGGGGGTCTCTGTCCACAACACCCCCACAGCCCCCAGCAGAACCACAGCACAAGCAGCATGAGTGAAGCTTTGCCCTCCTGTCAATGCACCAGCCCATCTCTTCAGCTGTGCAAAGCCAGACCTGCCTGATGCCTGGCTGCACCACACAGCCCCTCAGCTGGCGCCTGGTGAAGGGGCTTGCAGGACTTCTGGGCACAGGGACACCCGGCTCCAGAGGCTGCCCTGCCCTGCAGCTCAGAGTGCTACAGAAGACATCACTGCAGTAAAGTATCAGTGCCAGTTTGCTCCTGGATTGCCTGGTGAAGCCTGCCTCAGGGCATGGGAACACTGGAGGCTCTCCAGCCCCGTGCCAGGCCAGGTAAGAGCTGCCACTGCCTGCCTGCCCACCTCAGGCAGGGGAGAGGGGTGCACCAGAGCTGCCTGGAGCTGCAAACTTCGCCAGGGCACAGACTGCTGTGGGCAGCACTTCACTGGTCCCCAGCAAAGGCAGCACAGGGAACACGGGGAGAGGGAGGAGCTGAAGGAACAAGATGCCTGAGCACAGGGGGTGGTAGTACTTGCTAACAGCAGTCCTCCCGACCCATCCTTACTTGGGTGACCCAGTAGGTAAATTCCTTTCACTCCTTCCCGTTCAGATGCTTTTCCAGGCAGTTCAGTTACAGACCCTGGTACCAGGCACCAAATTATCCCCATATTCTGTTCATTCCTACAGCTTTCATCCCTCCCTCACTACAGGGTAGCCAATTTTTCTTTGGGAACTTTTTGCCAGACACTTCTTGAACTGCTGTAGCACCAAGGATGTTCTATCTCATGGCGTGCTTTGTCCTCTGGAGTCCAGTCAGTTCCTTCTTCACAGAGATGCAAAAAGAGAGGCGCAGGGAATAGGGTGGGAAGTGCAAAGGGAGTGCCAGGGCTAGTTCAGCTGCTGCCAGCTGTGTGCCCAATGGGATGGTGCAATTAAGACCTTTCTCAGCCTTAGGCAACCTGTTACTGTAATTTCATACCTGGGATGCACTTGTTAGTTTTTCTGATCCTTTGCAAGTCCTAAGTCTTCCCATCACAAACCATTCCACCACGGGAACTGTCTGCTCTGTGCTGGTGCTGTTTATATGATGAACGATGGCCAAGTGCAATGGAGGTCGGCAGGTTTTTGTTGTTCTTGGCTTTTACCATTTTTGCTTTGTTTTAGTTCCGTAACTTACTGATTTCATAAGCTTACTGTTCAGCAGCCTCTGTTCAGTGGCTTGAGTGGAAGACAGCACCATGACTGTAAACAGGGATGAAACAAAACCTCACCCGTGGCTTCTGCCAAACAGAAACTGTTTCTCAGAGTCACAGGTTCCACCCAGCAACAAAGCCATACGCTGTACCCGGCGCCTGATCGCAGTTAGGAGATCAACAAGCTGAAGCCTTTGCCCTGCTGGTACAGGCGCCAAACCGTGTGCTGTCTCCAGCAAACCAGGCCCTCATTGCCTCTGCACACACGGAAGGCAGTTTTGCACTTCTGAGTCATGGCTGGGTTTTGTTTTTCATGAGCATTGCTTTAATTCAGTCCCATTTACCAGCCAAGCTCCACAAGAAAAATAAACGGTGTACCACAGACATTGCTGCCTCGCACCCTCATTTTACAGCACCTCTGGGCACAAACACACCCCCAGCACAAGCCCCACTGCCAACACAGTGCTTGTTATCCCCACCCTTTGTACCCAGGGCTTCACACCCTGTCCAAATGCCACTAGAGCAGCTCCACCAACTGCCCCAAACCCTGTTGCATGAGTTAGTGCTGCGGCTTTCTGCTGTGGGGATCACCTCTCTCCTTGCCCTCATCCACAATTTTCCAGCTGCAAGGTAACAGTGGGAGAACGCTGCCTCAGCTGGCACAGTGCAACATTAGATACCAGCGGGTCCAAGACCCCCCCTCACCCCCTGCCACAGCACAGTGGCATCAGGAGCCACTATTTTACTTCCAGGTGGAAGAGACAGTGCTTTCACAGCCATCCTGGTTCTGCTTCAGAAGACCAGCCCCAGCAGCAGCAGTGATGCTCTTTGTGCGAGACAGTATGCGGCTGTGCCAGCTGCAGGCAAAACTGCTGCAGCCAACATTAGCCAGAGACAAATCCCAACACTGGCCCTCCTCCAGCTAAGTCAGTCTGATGTCTGAACACTCCAGCTTCCCTCCTTCCCTTTGTCCTTTCTGCAAGTAGCTGCTGCTGTAGCAATTATTTACTGATCAGCCCTGCCTCAGGCAGGCAGAAGCTGAACCAGCAGATGGGAGCTCAGGCCTCCCCAGCAAAGATACCTTTAATTACAGAGTAAGCAAATTTCAAAGTCACTGAGCATGGCAGAGAAACTACTTAAAGGCAGAGCCCACACCAGAATGGTCCCTGGTAAAACAAGCTTAATACTGATGGTGCATTTGGGGCCATTTTAAGCAGTGTCTTGCATCACCTGGGAGATACCCTTGTATGCTCCCAGGACAGGGAAGGTCAGCCTGGCTGCAGTCCTGCTCCTCTTCTGCCACCAAGCTGCCTTCAGAGCAGGGGACCATGCCCGAGGCCTGCTCACCATCCCGATGCCTTGTAGGGAGTAGTGTGCACACACCTGCACTGCTGGCAGCACCCTGGGAAGGGGCAATAGGGACCCCTGTTCATATGGGCTGGATCTGAACCCCAGGAGAGTAAGAACCACCAGTGGGTGAGACCCTCCCAGGCAAGGTGACACAAGGCAAGACCTAGAGCTCCCTGGGGCAACTTCTCCCTCTACTGCCAGCAAGCACCTTGTTAGATCTGGAACTGACTTTAAATCCAGTGGTATGAACGACAAAGCACTTCTGATTTTGTAATTGGCATTTCATTGCACCATAGAAACCCTGAAAACAGCAGCAAAGAGCACAACCGGAGGCAGTCAGAGCGTCCCCACTGTGAATTCATACGAGCTCGTGCGAAAATAGGCAGGGAAAGTTTGAAATGAAGTGTGGCTGAAGCAGCAGGGATGATTCCCTGCAGTACAAGGCAGGGCTCCCGTTCAACCGCTTGTGAAACGGGCAGCACTGTTTCCTTAGTTTAAAATTTTTCCAAGATTTTGACAACTTACAACATTTTACTCCCAGCATTCTGGTAACGGCAGCTTTCCGTTTACATTTAGGAATCAGAAGCCTCGTATCCATGGGCAGGGGGATTGCTTTTGCTGCCCAGCAAACTGCATTAATTACAGCACAGCAATAAACACCTGGAAGAGCCCAGACATACACCCCAGAGGGGAACACCCCAACCCCCTGCCTGATTCTCTGCCACTGTGACCTCAGCCAGTACATAGCAAAGAACCAGGATTCTCCCGTTTTAGAGCAGCCTCAAATGGCCTGATCAGCAGGAGCTCTTGCTCAGGAGCACATCTGCAAGGGCACGTGAGCAGAGCTGCTTGAGGCCACGTACAACTGCCCTGGGCTGCTCCACCGCTGCAGGGAGCCACAGGCTCGCAGCAGCTGGGCAGCACTGGCCTCAGCATCTGGCTCCTGGTGAGCTTGGTCCAAAGGGAGCAAACAGGGCAGGAAACCCTAAACCCTGGTGACCAACTTCTGTTTGCAGGAAAGGTGCAAACACGACCTCTGGCATGGGAAAGCTGAAGATCCAGGGATCTCAACAGTTTGGCTTGTTTTTTGGTGACTGGGGTAAACTGCAAGGCACAGATTCGTGTTACAAAGCCTAGCAATAAATTATGTTTTTAAATGCTTAACTGGACTCATCAAGAAAAAATAAACACATTCACTCTCAGAATAATCACTCCCAGGTCTAAATACATGAAGGCAGAAAGAGTCTAAGGGAATATCCTACCTGCTGGCACTGAGCAGGCTGCATGCACACCTCATCTCTCACACTTTAAATGCTAAGAACAGCTTTGTTACAGTAAGTTACAGCCTCTGCAACTTGATGTCCTACTTTTTAACTGTATTCTATCATTCCCTAATCATATTTCTGACAAACCGACCCTGGTTTTCCATAAGTTAATTAACTGTGAGCCACAAAGCCATGACTGAATGAATCACAGAATGGTCTGGGTTAGAAGGGGCCTTAAAGCTCATTCAGTTCCAACCCCCTGGCATGGGCAGGGACACCTTCCACCAGACCAGGTTGCTTGAAGCCCTGTCCAAGCTGGCCTTGAACACTGCAGGGATGGGGCAGACACAACTTCACTGGACAGCCTGTGCCAGGGCCTCATCAGCCACTTACTTAAGAAAGGATTAATTATAACCTGCTCTTTACAAGCAAGCAGCTGAACAGCTTTGAATACTGACAGGGTTGTGTTATCTTACTGTACTACATGCCATACTAGCCCCTATCTTTTCCGTTTCAAAGCTAGTGCACAGAAACACTAAGAACCCGGTTACTTTGCTGTTTGACCCTCCTTCGGGTATTTTCTATCACCAGTTTGAAAACTAGCTTGATTTTTAACAGTGCCCTGACCTCGCACTGCTACAATACATGGTTAAAGGCCAAATGGCAAGATTAAATATGAAAGAATCCTTTAGAGCAAATTTCTGTTGTGGTGGTTTCTTTCTTTGGTTGGTTGTTTTTTCTGTAAGTGTTGGTCCTCCATAGCCCCAAGGGCTGTATCAAGCATTCTCTCATCTATGAAGAGGTTTACTGACACCAGAATAAAGAGCAAAGTAAAACAGGGAAGGAAGCTGCTCACAGAAAGTATAAGCCAAGCCACAAACATTGCTGGCAATTTCAAGTCTGCTAGATGGCCCTTCCACTTTAACAACTGACACAACAGTGCAAGCTGGCCTGTTTCCACCACCACGAGCAAATTTTAATGCAGCTATCCTTTGAAAGCTTTCTAATGCCAAAACAGTGTCAACACGTGACCTTGAGGACTGGCAGAACTAAAGCTTTCTTCTGGAAAAAGTAATTAAAATCTGCTTATTTACCAGCATCTGCTCATTTACTAATTTCAAGGAAAGCATCCACAGTGGCAGACCAAGGAGGAAAATCATCTTACAACTTCCAGATCATGTCTCCTATTTGCACACTAGCAGAAGCAAAGTGACATGCCTGTTGCTTTTGGATTGGGAGACACAAGAGGGGATATGCTGGGCCAAAGACAGGAAAAGTTATCCAAATCCCTAAAATGAGAGGGGTTTTCAGATTGCTATGACAAGTCTTCTGAATGGCTGATAGACAAAATACAGCAGCCATTCTTTACTATATTCAGTTGTACTAGAA